TGGCCTCAACTGACTCTCTTCTTTCCCCCCCAGTGGATCTAGGACAGATATTTGAGTCTATACTATTAGACTGAGTTCTCTCTGACCTCTCTCTTGTTTTGCTCTAGGCCTTGGGTCAACGTGGAACAAACTGTCTTTGCAAAGTTTGCAACTGTTCACTTCATACTTTTGCATACAAATGTGCTTTGCCATGGGGGCATCTCTCTGCAAGGGGGGGAAAACAACAAGGATTCAAGCACTCTGGGGCACTGTGCATCTTTCTTTTGTTAAATATTTCATCAAGTGTTTCAAGGAGTTTACCACATTGTTTACCACAATTTACTATCCAGTGCAATGTGGTTAGCTTGAATTGCCTTTTTCTTTGTAGGTGTGTGAGAGTGTGTGTGTGTGTGTGTGTCCCTGGGCTCGCTTTGGTATCACTGAGGGTAATTTCTCCCCAACACGAGCAAACAACTCGAATCGCTTTAATGAGCTTTCTAACTGCTTTGCCAGGGAGCGCTCGGCAGGGATTTCACATCACATGCCACGCATCCAAACAATGACGCAAACTTTCGACATAACCGCAAAAGATGCATTTATTGTCTCTAAATGCCACGCGTGCAATTAAAACGTGCAACTCTCCCCCAACAAGAGGACATCAGCTCACAGAATATTTCTGCTTACCAGCCTGATGAGAGTTAATTGATGTCAAAGACTTTCTTCCCTGTACGAACACATTTTTCGTTCACATTCGCACGCTGTCTTAATGCAGTTTTTATCTAATAACGTGATGCTCTGCTGACTTTAGCTTGAGCTCACATCACAGCCTGTTTGCCCCTTAGAAATGGATTATAAAATGGTTGGATGAGGAGCCAAGTTTATCTTGCCACAGCACACAGTTAGTGGGATTGTAGGAAAGATGAAAAAAAAAGACAACTTTTTAAATCTTTTCCACGGTTGTTGCAGAGGTTTCTGAATGTCCGTACACTTTCTACATGCCAAGCTAATTTGAATGCCCTGTATACACAAGGTGTGAAAACACTTTTTATTTGTTATCCCTTACCGTTGATTAGTTACTCATGAACAATTGGAACATTAATGCTGAGAGTTGGTGTGACGTGCCCCATCAGACTGATCGAATGCACGACGTACGATGCAGCATTTTCCATCAGAACGAGCATTTTTCTTTTTCCAACTCTGACGCCTGCATTGGAAGCCATTTTAAAAACATCAATTGAGTTCAGTTTCCTTATAATGCGCTAAATTAACCATCTTCTCAAGTCCTTTTACAAGCTTTTATCATACATAAACAGATATATGAAATTCAAATGACTCCACATTCAGGTTGAATCAACACAATGCATTCTAATAATTCAAAGTCATATTCTATCAGATTTGAAATGAATCCCTGCTCCAATCACTATTGAATCAAATTGCTTGATTTGCTCAGTAGCATGCGAGTCGCCTGGTAACGAGCCATTCATTTGATTCAGGTGTGTTAGAGGGGGATGTGTCTAATTCTTGCAGGATAGTAACTCTTAAGGATTGGATTGGGGCACCTCTGTAATGCAGTACTGTCAAAGTTGCTTGATCACATGATAATAATTAATAATAGGTTATCCATCTAAGAAAGCACAACCAGTAGCGTTGTCAGTCCCTCGCTCCTGGGCAAGCATGTGGCAACAGGGGAAAGGAATGACTCCATTTTAACCAACAGAACCACAACAAGGCAACAGACAGTAACTGTGACAGTTGACATTTTCCCTCTTTTTTTTCATAAAGACAAGCTAAACTGAAACTGTCTTTCGTCTTTCCTGTCTGTGCACATGTTCTATGAATCATCGCATTGCACTATTTTCAAGCTTGCTCCGTGGAAGAAGAGGCCTCAACTGTTGAAAGTGAAGGGATTTATTAGTGTGTGTTGGGGATGTAGTACTATTTCTAGTCACAGAGCGCGACCAGGTGTGCAGATCAACCTTATCTCATAGCTGTAGGGTGTGTGTGTGTTTGTGTGCATATTAGGTTCCATTATAAGAACAGGTTGCCTGGCTCCATATGTGCGCAGTGTGCAGGGAAGCTGGGAAAACAAGGTTCTCCACGGCCCTCAGTGTTATTGCTACCTCCCGCCTCTTCGAACCGTGTTTGAAGACAGGAAATAGGATTCAGACCGCAGTCCAAAGGGCATGTGGCAATGGTTTATACGCCGAGGACCTCTGACCTATCGCCCCCACTCCCACCCGCTCTCTCACACCACTCCCATGGCCCTAAAACACTCTCTCCCAAGTTGGGGCTCGAAAACGATGTGTCCTGACCCAGCCCAGCTTGGCCCGACCTAACCAAACCCAGTACAATAGACACTTCGTCCTGAGATTTGTTTGAGCGCAGAATGAAAAACAGATGGACCTTAAAGAAAGGACCAGGAGAATAAGGAGAGCGGGAGGGGGGAAATATAAGGGAGTCTTGTAAAATATTTTCGAAGAAAAATAACCCAGAGAGGTTGTCTAATTATATCTATTTGTCTTGTGTGGTTTTGTTGGGGAGGCCATGTGGTCTCCCTGGCTGCTCCATGGTTCATTTTTCACATTATCTGATCCTGGACACAGCAAAAAAAGAAAGAAGTTGGGTTTCTGGGGGGAGGTGGAGGAAGATTGGGCCTCAATGGGAGGCTTGTGGTAAGGTGGCTGGACTCAAAGACCCAAATGTGGTGAAGGCCTCTGAGGTCTTGAAGTTTCATGGCTTTGACTGCTTTGCTGTCTTTTGTGGGTATTAAGACAGGAATTGCTCATAGCTTTACTTTTCTAATCTACCAGACTGAATCCATCTTCCTCAATAAAGCAGCTTTGTTTTTTTCTAATAAAAACAAATGTGGCCTTAGACCTACTTTTTTCTCTTTAGAGGTTTATCAAGTCCTCCACTTGAAGGGGAATCCAGGGCAGACTTAGTGGAGGGGCTAAATGTTCCTGGATGGATGGATGGATGGATGGATGGATGGATGGATGGATGGATGGATGGATGGATGGATCCCACAGTGCCTTGCAAGCACAAATTTCCTTTGAAGATCTGTGTTTGTCACTTTATAAACATAAACGTCAATTTATTTGATTGGAATTGTTTGTGATAGACCAAACCAAGTAATGAAGTGGAAGGCTAATGATGCCTGATTTTAAACATTTTGGTATAATTTGTGTGTTTGTCTTTGCATTCAGGCCCCTTTGGGTAACCAATTTCCCCACAGTAACGATACAAAGAAACAGTTTTGGTGTTTGTTTCTACCAGCTTTGGTTGGTCCAATATAAAGAAGAGCAAAATTTAACATACCTTGAATAAAACCATCCCATTCCAAGTGTGGTTGTATGAGGGTTTTTTTTTTGTTGTTTTTTTTTAACCTGGTAGGAGATGAACCTCCATGACAGTCTGAAGTGTTTTACAGCTTTTTCCATGATTGTCCTGTAATGATCTCCTCCCCACAAATCTGACCAACTTCAATGTTCCTGCTGAAGGAAAGCATCCTCCACAGCATGATGCCGTCACCACATTGTGCTAACCCGGGATGGCGTGTTAAGCATGATGGACAGAGTCAGGCTCAGCTCCTCCAGCGTTACCATGGCTACATCATTCTTGCCCCATCTCCAATTAATGCTCTTCTTGACCAGCCTTCACATTCAGGTCTGCTTTGATGGGTTTACTTTTTTATCTCTTTGCATCATGGGTTGATTAAGCTGTGCTTTGAGAAGTTTGGAGTTTTGAGGTTGCTTTACAACTTGACCTGTTTTAAACTTTTCCATGACTTTGTCCGTAGCCCTATAACAAACCTCTGAGGTCTCAACTGAGAAGTTGTGTTATACTGAGACGAGGGTGACTACAAACTGAGGATGTTGTGATGGCAACTGAATTTACTTTAGGCCTATCCAATTTGAATGGGTTTAAATGCATAATCACACCACACATTTAAGATTTGTCAAAGAATCTGAAAACCACGCGTCATTCTTCTTCCACTTGACAGTTATGCACTCCCTTGTTTTGGTCTGTCACATAAAATCCCCAAAAAGACGTGTTGAGGTTTGTGGTCGAAACCTGAGAAAAATGCGAAAAGGCTCGAGGGGAATAACGATTTCTGCATGGTATTGAAGTCCTTTTCATGGAATTTGTGCACTGTATCCCATGTAGATGTCCTTTAAATTACATTTTTAAACCTTCTTTACAGGCAGTTGTGTTAAATTTAGATTTCCCAGCATGCCCACCAAGCACACCCAGCATCAGGGAGTCTGCGTCTTGATGTCCTCCCTCAGCCACTGGCTTTGGGTCACCTCATTGTGTCCAGATCTGTCCTGTCCCTGCCTGCCTGCCTGTCACTCAGCAGGCGGCTTGTTGACTGTTGCATGACTTCTGCACTTCTTTACTTTGTCTCAGTTTGACGGGCAGGATTTACATGAAACAGGCTGACGACGTTTTCCTTTCCTGGCTCCAGCAATATTCAAAGTTCACAATAGGAGGAGCCTTTCATGATGGTTGACTGCGTTAATAAGGATGATAATGATGTCACAGCTGGTGACATCACCGCAGCGTGCCAGCCAGTAGAACAAAAGAGGACTCTGCCTGGTCGTCCTAGCTGCCTTGGCAGGACCAGAAAGAGAGAGAAAGAGGAGGGGGAGAGACCAAAGACTGATGTATCCATTTGGCTTTGAGTTTAATTCTGCCTCTTTATTCACATATTCAAATTTTTCCTGCGAGTATTTGTAAGGAGGGAAACATTTTGATTTGTTCTGCCAACTTTATATCTCTATTACGGCCTGGAATGAAAGCGCTCCGTCACTTCAGGCAGGATATCCGGTGATTTGGCTCCCAACTCCAAATCAAAGCTGTTTAAAGTGCATTGTTCTCAGGGAGATGCCTGTGCCCAGCCTCTGTCTTCTCTCCCTTCTTCCTCCTCTCCTGTCTCTATTCTGTCCATCTGCACATTCCCCCTCCTTCATCCTCGCTTTCTTCTGTGCTTGCCTACATCTCTATCTGTCCTCTTGCAGGACTCGGAGAGAAAGGGCTTCATGAACAAGCTTTATGCCATTCAGGACGTGTGCATCAGCGTGCAGAATGCACTGGATGAAGTGGCCTCCTACGGCGAGAGGATAAAGAAGTGAGTCGAAAGCCCGCTCCTCGGCACCGGGCCCACTTCCCTTTGCTTCGCTCCACATGTCCTGGTTCTTTTTCCACGTTGCCAGGCCCCTCTGCCTTCTCGTGCCAGGCTAACTTATTTTAGCTCCATTCCTGAATCGCATGTAGACCTGCACGACCTTCATGTATACACATCACTTCATGTGCATGCCAACACAGAACTGTTGATTTACCTATTTCTCATATTTATAAAAAGTAAAGTGGAATAATTTGTTTTTGCGGCAGAGAGCGAACTATGACTCTCAAAAGTTTATATTGTTTACAAAGCGCCAAACGACTGATATGTAACTTATCTTTATAATCGTTAGTGTGTTTCCTACTTCCTGATAGTGACATTTCTGAGCATGCTCAGTTAAATGAGCTTTTACAACGTTTCCTAATTTGAATCTCTCGTTCTTCTTTTACAGCACATTTAACTGGACTGTGCCTTTCTTAAGCTGGTTAGTGATTGTAGCTCTCGTCGTGGCCACAATCATCGTCTACTTCATTCCACTACGGTTCATCGTTCTGGCCTGGGGTGAGCTAATGCTAGTTATGTGAATCAACTTTAATTAAGCTGCACTCAAATGCCAGAGTTTTCTGATTTTTGAGTTTTGTGAAGAAAAAACAACAACTTTGATATAGTATTTATAAACTTTTTTTTTCCATATCTGATGTAACTTGTATCCTGCGCAGCTGCAGTGAAAACAAATTTGTGGTAAATGGACTGTGGTTATATCGCACTTTTCCAGGCATAATGACTGCTTATGTGCACCTGTACACATATCCGTAGATAACCTGGGGCTGAGGGTCTTGCCCAGTTTTGAGATAATTAATGTTGGAAATTACTATTATTACAATCAAATAAGGGCATGTAAACGTTTCAGAGGTACTATATAAAAGCAAATAAATAGACAAGCTCATTTGCTTGCCTATTTTCATTTATTTATTTTTTTGGGGGAAAAAAAAAACATGCTGAAGAATTGAAAGTTTAGTATTCCTGAATATTTTATAGCATATTTTATTATTTGTCTGTCTGTCTGTTTACTTTTCTTCCTGCTACAGGGGTTAACAAGTTCACAAAGAAACTGCGGGACCCTTACACCATTGACAACAACGAGCTGCTGGACTTTCTGTCCAGAGTGCCCTCGGATGTACAAGTGGTGGGTCAACTTCTACTTTCAATGTCGCACCTGCTGGTTCCAAGTCCTAGTTTCTATTTACATTGTCTGGTGAAATTATTTGAACAACTTTTCCACATATGCCAGAGTTGTAATGTTATATTACAACCACAGACATTAAATACTGTTGGGATTTAACATGGTAGACCGGCATAAAGTAGCTCATCATTTTGAAGTGGAGAGAAAAGGACACGATGTCTTTAAAGTTGTTTTTACTAATAACAAATTTGAAAAGCATTTGCATTTAGTTCCTTTTAATCTGACACCCCTAAATAAAATGCCACCGAAACAACCGATTGCTTTCAAATGTCAGCTTGTAAATAGTGAGATCCGTCACAGTAAACGGTGAATGAGAAATTCCTCAGAGAACATTCAGTTTATCTAGTAATATAGACGGTTCACAGCAAATGTTATCTAAATGCACTTTACAAGACAAATAGATCCAAATTATACGCAGAAATAATAAAATCAGTTTAATCAGGTGGCCAAATTCAATTCCAGTTCATTCCTAGTGATGATACAATGGAGTCAGATTTAGTTTGTAATTCCATCCAATTATCTATCCATCATCTGTAGTGGCTTTTTCTCGCAGGGTTGTGGGGAAGCTCAAACATACTGTATCTTGAATGAAAAGCTGATGCAACAGAGTACAACATGGGACAGTCCAGTAGGAAACCTGTAAATGGTTTCAAAACATTTGAGCATAAGGTGAAAGTTCATATATTCCAGCATTACAATGACAACCAGAGGTGCAATGCAACAGGTAAGATCAAAGCATACTCATGTGTTAGAATGGTCCAGTCAAAGTCCAGAACTACATCCAACTGTAAACATATGACTTAGAAATTAGTGGTCTCCGATAAAAAGCATTATGTCTTCTTGCTTTAAAGTTATGCTCTGGTTTACGTCTGGTGGACCTGATTTTATAGAGACGTATCTGAAAGGGTCTAAATCAACTTTCACATCAGTCTATCAAGAGTTTTGTAAAATAAATAAATAAATGAGACCTCTTTCCACTTAATTATGTCTAACTTTGTATCGGTCTATCACATAAAATCTCAACAGAGAAGATCGAAGTCGTGTTAGTTGCACTACAACAAAAACAAAATCATTTCCATGGCATTAGTACTTTTGCAAATCACTCTTATGATCTTCTGTCTCGTTTCTCCTGCCAGCCTCACTTTGCATAGTTGGCCCTTTTTTCCCCCCCACCTTCATTCAGAACACATGCTTCTTTGTTTTAGCCGTCTAATCAAAGTAATGTAAAGCTGTTTTTTGAGTGTTTTTCCATTAAAAGCTTCCCGCGCTAATTTAATTTCCTCTTACATGGCCGGAGCTGCGCTGCGAGATAACAAGGTTAAGTGAGTTTAGTGTTCCGCATATAACTAGGTTGACTGACTCCATACATACACTCTACCAAAATTACAGTTGGCTGCTGTTTTTCAGCCATGCTGGTAATTGGAGCAGAGTGTAAATCAACAGCCTAAATGGCACCCTGGGGTTTTCCTTCAACATTTATCATGAGATCAGATTAACTTTATGACTGAAGGAATCAGATGCTTGCTTAGGTTCAATGTGTGAGCAATAACTATCCCACACTGTTGCCGGCCCAAGACAAAGTGCAATTTAAACACCAATTAAGCTGCATCTCGCAGTGGCTTTAGCCAGGCCCGATGGTGTCGACTGTGGCCGTTAATGTCCTGCTGTGATACACACGGACGGGGGGCTCAGACTGAAGGACCTGGGACCTCTACCAGTTCCCCGCCACATCAGCACTGACACACTTCCTCTTTGATTGCTCATTGCCCACATCTTTCATCTTTACGGGGTCATAATCCTTGCCCCCCACCCTACCGCCCCCTCCCCTGCACGCCCCGCACTCACTCCCTCTTTCTGCCCTTGCACAGCTCTGTAGTTTACAGGGGGCTGCTGCAGCAATCCATCGACTTAAATGAGCCCAAGCTGTCCCCTCTGGTGGAGTGCAGCCACCTTACGCACCTGAAGCCTGCGGGTGTGTAGTGGTGAAGAGGCCCAAGCCTGGCAGGTACAAGCCCTTTACAAGGCTCCTAATGAGGGCCTGCTGGCTAGGGGAGGGTGGGGGCAGATGTACTGCTCTGGTCCAGTGGCTATACCTCTGAAATTGCACCTACTGTAAAAGTAATACTGTAAGTGCTACTGTAAGCTCAGTCCTAAAGCTGTAGGAAGGGAAATTGTAGCCCTGTGTCACTGAGAGGCCAGAGTCTTGCAAAGCAAGGAAACCAACAGAAATAAAACTTGAAAAGAAATAAATTTCTGAGATGGATAATTGGAAAAAAGTTGCAAAAAAAAAAAAAAGGGTTGACTGTTTCAAATGGGCGATGTTTGATTTAAGAAAGTAGAGTCGAAAAACTGCAAAATCTCATTGAATCCAAAAGTCCGTTTTGGAAAAAAAAAAAAAAAAAAAAAAAGATACCCTTCTCTGCGGTCATTGGCTAAAAACAGACCGGAACGTTCTGCTCTGCCTCAGGTGGTGGGCTCATCTTGTTGCTTGCCCCTCGCCTTACTGGGTCAAAGACGTTAGTGGACTGAAAGCCCTTGAGGCTCTCGGGTGATGGTGGGATCCAAATGGAGCGTCCCCCTCATGGGCACGTGTTTGTGGAGCCCGCTGGCATGGGTGCAGAGGTCCACTGTGCCTGACAACGTGGATGACTAATGAAGTGCTATTTCAGGGCCTTAGTGTGACCTCACACACATACATAATCACACCCACAATTTCTCCCAGCTGCCGTGCACCTAAGGTGGGTCGGGTCCACCGTTCCGCATCATTTAGAGGTGCTTCAGTGCAAGCAGAACTGATGAGGTTCTAATGACTTTATATACAAAGGGCAGTCACACTGGGCTATAATAACTTATATAGCTTTACAGCACCACAGAAGCTGTGGATTTGTTGCTTAATCTCTTGTAGTGTAGTTCTTTTACTTCTTACATTTGATGCGGCAGAAGCTTTTAGCTTTAAGCTTTGCTTCCACTTCAAAGGGATAGTTCAGGATTTTAAAAATGGAGCCGGATGACGACGGCCTCACTCGTAGCGACTGTTTTTCCTGGGGTCTTTGTTTAGTATAAATCCAAGTTAGTTGGTTCTAAAGGCTAAAGCTAACAGCTAGTCCAAGATGAACTTCTACCAGGTTGAAACAGCTCAAATCTGAATTGAACACCACCAATGTCTGAAACACCTCCATGTTCTGAAACTAAAACTAAGAGAACATAGAAGAACATTTCTGGTCAGAAAGATAATACAGAGATTATATTTTCCACCTTTGCACCGGTTAGTGGATGGGTCAAATTAAGGCAGCATGAGGAGATTTTGTCCTCAGAGTTGATGTGTCAGACTCAAAGCTATAGATTCTGGCAAGTTTGACATGGGTCGAGTGTGATAGCCATCTGTCTAGTCTGCAGCGTTTAACAAAAGTGGTCCAGCGAAGGAACAGTGATGAGCTGGTGCAGGATCTTGGCAGTAACGGTAAGACAGTCATCAGCTACAGATCAGATATTAACTGTCCCTCTTTAGGCACTTATACTGTGAAAAGCAAGCATCCAACCCAAAACAACGCTGACAGGCATCCTTTAAACCCCTGTTGTTTTACATAAGCTGCAGCTCCTTTTACCACCTGCAAGGTTTGCTTTGCGCTAAGTTTGTTATCCCCCTCCCTGAGCAGCCACTTCAAAGCCAGTCGTGATGTATCGGTTAATGTGCGTGAGAAAAACCCCTGTTCTAATAGCGGTTTCTTATGTTTGGTTTTTGATGCTACACCAGCCTCTGCTGTCTTTACGATCACTATCAGCGAAATCCTCCATTTCTTTTTTTTAAACAAGGCTGAACTGAAAACACTCACATTGCAGGCAGAGTATTCCCTACCTGGCGTTCGGGACATGCCCGAGCTTCTAGTGTGTTTTATGACACCATTAGGAACGGGAGCTAGGGAGAGCATAAGTAGGGCCAAGGCAATTAGCATGCCAAGTGGCCCTTTATGATAGCTGTAAAGGAGCTGGTTCAAATCCCCAATACAAAAATAAGCATGAATTCCAATTTAGGGCCTAATGAACAGCAGGGAGTCTGGTTAATATTTTTGGGCACCATTTATGTTTGCAGTGAAACCTCAGTGGACATAGAGGAAATAAAAGCAGGATAGTTAAGGGTTGAAACACTGCCAGATATCATCAGTCACCTCCAGCAGAAGCGTCTTTCCCCTTCGCTTTGCCCTTCCCCACTTTGGAGACATTTCACCCAAAAAAAAGGAAAAAAAAAAAAAGGGGCAATTAGTCCCTGTTCAGCATGTGTCTTGTCACAGCAACTAATAGGAAGGATTTTCCATTTTCTCTGCGAGCCATTTCTTGTTTTGTTTGTTTATTGGCTTATGTCACCTTGGCACGCTTTTTCTTTTACCACAACACAATGGCTTTGGGTGCTGAATCTTCAGTCTGCACACATTAGTGTTTCCCCGCAACCATTTAATAACCCTCATGCTCCATTAGATGTCACCTGAGATGAAAACCGCAAAGTTTTGTGTTCTTTTTTTTTTTTTTTTTTTTTTTTTAAAGTATCTGGTATCATTAAAATTATGCCCCTTTTTCCTATTTTTGAATTCGTTTATTTACTCACCTACCTGCTTCGCCCCCCCCTCCTCCTCTCTCTACTCACTGTCACCCACCTTGCATGTCTGCCCACACTGGCATCATCAAAACACTGTCAAAGGTTCAATGTGAGAAGGAGAAAGAGAATGAAAGACAGTGAGGAGAGGCGGGGAGGAGCAGGTCCCGGGATGCTTTATGGGTAACGCTGTTAAACGAGGCACGACGCGCGGTACACGGCACCCCTTCAGCAGAGCACACTTCAAAGCCTGTTTTTGCACTTGTACTGTCAACATTTGGGGAGAGGGAGCGGAGTGAGGGTGGAGGAGCAGCCTTTGAGCAGCGTTGGGTCTTAACACACCTCTTCTCCTGTCTGTTTTTCCTTTAAGCTCTCCGCCTGTGTTCCAAATTGGTTATGTGCTTGCTGCATTACCTCACTTTTTGCTTTTTACCCAATTCTGCTATTTTTTATTTTTTTTTATTTTTATTTTGTTAACGTCCCACTTTCTCCTCACCCGCTCTGACTTTTCCCTGTTTCTTTTTTTTTTTTTACTTGAACTAGCTTCTGTTGTCTTATTGGTGTGGTTACAGCAGGTGGATGTATGTGCGCGTGTATGCGTGTGTGTGTGTGTGTGTGTGTGTGTGTGTGTGTGTGTGTGTGTGTGTGTGTGTGTGGTATTAGGTGAGGTGAGCAGGGAGCCAAGGGTGTAGCATCAGTCAGGCCTGTCGCCTATGAAGAAGAATTGAACCCGTAACGTATGAGCCCCATTTCTCCCTGGCTGGCAGCTCTTCACAGAGAAAACTCGTGTTTGATTGAAATCTTTTTTTTTTTTTTTCCTCGCACCATTTCTTTTTGTTGATCCCCTTTGCTGCTGTACATGAGAAGGAAAAGCCACACTTCCCACTGACAAGCAAACTTTTCTTTGTGTGCATGCGTTTACAAAGAGTTTTTGTTTGGACAGAAACGTCACTGTGCAGTATTAAACTGCTGTGCAGCTCTTTTTTTTTTTTTTTTTGCTGCTGTAGGTGTTTGGCCGTGTAAATGGGACCGATAACGTGAAGTAATCCTGCACTGTACCTGCCCTACTTTTGGTGTTATGTTAGATTTTTTTAAAGCACAGGCTAAGTGTAAGATTATTATTTTTTACTAAGAATAAAAATGTTTAATATCAGCAGCTCAACAAATTTGAATATTATCAGATTATTTGTGAATTCAAATGAATCTCATATATAAGTTAAATAAAAAGGGGGTTTTATTACAGAAATGTTTTGTTAAATTATCATGAGGAAGCTTCCAAATGTCGTAGCTTTGCACCAGACAGTCGATGACAAGGTGGGCAATTCCTGCCAAATAAGCCGGCTGTTTAAACAGTTCTGTTTCCAAAGATTAAAAAAAAAAAAAAAAATGGAAAGTTGAGTGGAAGGAAAAAGTATTGTAGAAAAATGTGCACAAGCAAACAGGAAAACCAGAGCAGAGTACTGTGAAGCAAAACCAGTTCAAGAGTTTTGGGGGAGCTTCATTTAGTATTGACTGCAGCAGGAGTCAGCGCCTCAAGGGATCCTGATTTCATTTCAGAAGTCGCTGCTCACCTTGTTAAAAGTGGCAATACTTGGTTTATTTATCCGGGTGACCATATATTTGATTGGATAAAATAAGAAAGACTCCAGATGGAACAGGGCAAGTATGTCGCTCTGCGACTAGAGAACATTTAGGGGTTTCACTTCAGTTGCTGAAATAACGTTTCAGTTTCAGTGAGACCACATCCACGTTACAGGATCAGCAAATCAGCAGATGGCCAAAGTCTCCCTCTGTTTTACCTTTTCTCTTCATCAAGGAACACAAACTATTACCAGGAGAAAGCAGGAAGTTAATAAAAACTGTTCAATCTTTAAGTTTACAGGAAAAATGGGAGTAAAGGTCTCAGTGTCTAGTTACTTTTAAACATAAATTCTTTTTAAAAGTTATTATTAAACACTAGACCAGGTGACTCACCTGTCTTTTCATCAGTTTGTCTCTACTTTGTGCCACTAAGTCCTGCACAGGCGTCACTGATTCCTCATGCAGTGCATCTGAGCTTTTGCTCCTTTGGATGCTACTTCACAGTAAGGAGGACCCAGAAAGCCTAGTGGGAAGTGGATGGTGGGAAAACCACCGCTGTGAGGCACAGGTACATAAATGAGTCTCTGTTTGCTTAAGCGGCACAGTTATAAAATTGTATTAATACAGACTTGAGAAGTCAAATTTTTTGTGATGTTGGTGGCGTGGAGCCCATGCAGGCGTTACAGTTCCTGCTACATGTAGGGTCTGCTGTGCATTTCAGGACCGAAAGGCTTTATTGAACCGTCAGAATGGGCTGGTACAAGAGACATGATAAAGGCTTGTTCTCAGCCGGCGCTGAGACGCTCCTGTTGTCGTCCACAGCAGATAGAGCCACCATGAGACAAAGCAGTGAAACATTATTGATGTGAGTTTGCTGTCTGCCTGGAGAATCAGAGAGGGTGTCAGTCAGTCAGACAAACAGAGTAGCCTGTAGTACGTCAACTTAGGAGAGAATTCTCAGACGATTCTGGCTCTTTGGTGCCGAGTCTGTTAAGTCTGTTTTTTTTATATATATATATATATATATATATATATATATATATATATTAGTATTCTGATTCAGTGGCTACTGCTTGTCAATTTCTTGAATCTGTGTGAGCTAGCTGGATGTCTGAAAAGCGAATGGTTGCCGGTGACAGCCTTTAGTTGCTCAGCCACTGCGGCTGCTGCGTTGATGTACAGTACCCATCACTTTCAGGTCAGAACGGGGTTTTTATCTAGGATGTAAGTTTTGCATCAGTTGGGAAATCACGTCATGTTGGAAAAAATGTGCAACTCTTCCCACTGACAGTGTTGAAGTTCGTGTGAAGGTGTGAAGTAGTAGAGTTTCCAAAATCTTGTTTTGTCTTTAAGTCGGCGATTCAGTCTTTTTACGTCTCGTCACGACCACAGCGTATTATTTTTGAGACAATCGCAAATAATTGTGAAGTGGAAGCTAAATTATGCATGGGTTTTCAAGCTGTTAAAATGTTTCATTCGTCATGTTTTCATCAAAGCCATTCCAATGTTTAGGTCACTGTCTTACGACAAGGTGAACCTCCAGTTTCTAACGGGGTTCGATCTACAATTAGCCACTTAGTTTTCCCATAATATCTGATCAGCTGACCTGTTCTTGGAGAGGAAAGGTGTCCTACAACACAGAGTGTTTTCACACAGTGTTTCGAGTGTTTGCAGTGATTGTTTTTCGTCACGCATGACATTTTTTTATGCAGGCTAAAAACTTCCACCTTAGTCTCATCTGACCTTCTTTTCTGTAAAAGCCTTTGCATCATTTTGTTTTAGAATCACCCGTATGTCGTACATTTGTTTAAACTAAATGAAGTTACACCAATTCAATCGTTTCAGAGTTGTGGATACAGGCCACCTCTTCTCTTTTCTTAGAAAGCAGTCCCTCGGTGAGTTACAAACAGTAATAAAACCCAGTATATCCCACTAGTTAAGTATAACAGTTTAGCTTTTCCTCCTTGGCAGTCTCTGTAATTTATTCATGTGCATTTGATGATCTTAAAGCCCGCAGATAATTGGGCGTACCTCCGAGAGACATAAATCGACTAATTCCTCCACAAGCCTGCTCTGAGCACTTTGTTTCTGTTTTATTGAGTGTTGGGTCATCAACTGAGTGCTTCCAACGCTGGCGCAGGGCAGACGGCTGCTGCATTCAGTTGTGATCGTGTGGAGGGAATGAAATGAAAGGCCTGTGCAAGTTAAGTTAGCTTTAATAAGCTGATGGGGTGTACTTACATTTGTAGTGCGTGCAGGACTTGGTTTCAACATTGTGTTTCAACATTTCAGTTTTAGTTTTATCATTCCAAGAGACGCGTGTCCATATAAAAAAAAAAAAGAAAAAAAAAAGGTCTTTGATCCTGAATTAATTTGTAGACTATAATCTGGCTTTTTATGTTGTTTTTGTTTCTTGGGCTCCCATAATAATATCCTCTCTCTCACTGTTCTGGTATTTCGCAAATCAAAATAATTTTGGTTACCCTAATTGCCATGAAACAGGAAAAGTTTAATTTGATTTAGCTTTTTTTTTTATTTTTATAACTGTATATTCACTGCACAGCCTGTTATAGTCAGATAAATAGCTTAAAGGCCAAAACCACAGAATCCTTCATGTTCACATGAGCCTTCAAGGCAGAACTGAAGGTCAAGCCTTTGGAAGCCTGCATGGAAAAAGGAGCATAAGCAGATATTTTTAGAGGAATGAAAACTCTCATTAGTTGGCTGCTTAACTGCGTTGGTGCAGCCATAAAGATGAGGCGGATGTTGATTTGTACATTGTGCAATAAATAGTTCAAACACCTTAAATAATAATAAATAAAAAAAAAAATCCCTTCGGGATCAGATCAGAACATGGGGTTATTGATAGTTAATATTCTAATCTGATGTCATGTGATGTAACTCCAGATTCACACGCAGGGTCAGGAATTGTAAGCAGCGTTTTGTACAACATCCTGTTCTCGTTTCCACCTTTCTCTGCTGGGATGACTGCTGGCTGTCCAATCTGTCCCACGGGCCCTCGCCCTGTTCTTTGTTTGTCTGTCTGATCCCCTCCTGTAGGCCACTGTTGCACATCTGTGGGCGTGTTTTTGTTGCGCGAGCATATGTGGACCTTTTTTTTTGCATCAACAGCGCTCCCCTTCAGTGCTTTTGAAGCGCGTGCACGCCTGCATCTGTGCGTGCGCGCGTTGTAATCAGTGTGTAATCCCTTCCCCGAGGCCGCCGTTCCACACAGCTGGACCGGAGCCTCTGGAGGGGCCTCTGTGCTGCTCAAGCATCCTTTGCTCTCTCCACCTGACCGACTGGTGTGTGTGTGTGTGTGTTTTAACAGGTGCAGTACCAACAGCTGAAACTGGATCCCAATCCCAGTCCAAATAAAAGGAAGAAAAACAACCCCGGGTAGATCACCGCATGCGCCCACGGACTCCTCTCTCCTTCGTTTCTTTTCCTGCTGGTTTGATGCTGGACGCTGAGAAGCAAAGCCTGGGCTGAACCGTCCTTCTATTTATATCCTGCTTCATTTTGTTAAACATCATTTCTCCCTTCAGGAGGCTTTACACTTTCTCTAAATATAATTTTGTATGAGCAAAGACTTCAAGAAACCTTTAACTCATTATTATTATTATTATTATTGTTATTGTTATTATTGTTGTATTGTATGCATTATGTATTGAGTCCTTTTTTTATCAGCCATGTCAGCTGCCGTGTCCTGCCCTCTGGGAGTGTGTGTGTGCTTGCCACAGTAGTCGAACAGGTACAGTTAAATTATTTGTAGGTAACTGATTCAGGCCTTAAACGATCATTCTTGACATTTCTTTAGCTTGTACTATACAGCTTTGAAACACTTTTGGTAAAATGTTTCTATTTTCTAATTGTTTTTTATACTATTGCATCCTTATTTTTTATCTCCTCTTGAATGTTTTGATGATTTTTTTTTATGTTTTGGCCGGCAGTAATTTGGGTCGTCGCTGTCTAAATTAGCGAGCCGATTTCGTCCGGAGGCTCCAGACATGCTCCTTTGCATCTCGGTGAATTAAAAATAACATTAAAACGTCGGCTGGACCGAGAGCCACCGTGCGCAGATGTAAGCCAGGATGTGGACCACCCTGTGTGTTAAGCCACTCCAGAACCAGAGACAACGTGAGGCGCAACTCACCTTGATGAAGGAATCAAAGGACTGGATTGTTGCTGAGTGTGGGCTGCAGATCTCTTCTCAGATGGGGGCACATTAGATGGGTTTTACATTTTGCATCGACACCAAGCCTCTTAAGTCTGGTTTTTATTTCCCAGCAGGACTCGGTAACAGCCTACACTGCCAAACGTACCAACACCTGCTTTAATAACCACGGTATCACTGTGCTCAGCCAGTAAAATTCGCCCGGCCCCTTAGACAATCTATGAAGAGACTCCAGATCCAACAGTTGAAGCTGAAGAGTCACTATAAAAACTTTTGTTGTTAGTCGTCTATAATTTCTTAAACCAAACCAAGAGATATCTTACTATAGGTAACAATTTGCAATTCGGTGCCAAAAATACTGCAATAAAATAACATACGTTTTAATAACATAATACCTAATTTATCGAGATGCAATCGCGAAAACAAATCTGGACCAACAGGCTGTGGGTTCCTTTTTTTTTTTTTTTTTTGTCCCTAAACCCAACGAGTAGGAACGAGGTCGAGTATGAGATCATTCGGTGCGTTGGATCTCGAGAAAGTGTGCGGTTTTAGCCCCGTCAGCGTCGTCAGTCAGTCGGTACGACACCTTCTCAGTGAGGCGGCGCCGCGGACTGGGCCTGCTGCCGCTGTGCTTATATAGATGTCACCTGGTCTATGCAGAGTGTCATGGAGCAGGCAGGCAGGCCTTTAGGCAGGCACAGCCCTAATCTTGTTTGAAAGGCCGGTCTCTTTCCCTCTCATCTCCCTGTGTGTTTGCCTTGGCGGGCCACACATGAAAGCGTTTACACGCGAGGCGTGCTTCTGCAGCACGGGCACGCACGCAGACACAAAGAGCCCCAGCCTCTCTTCCTCCCTCTCAGGAGGGGAAGACAGAAAGAACGCATCTCTGGTAGGAAGTCTTGCACACTGTAACTACTTGCTCGCAGATAAAACAAAAAAAAAAAAACAGTGTCATATTTGAGCAGGAACAGTTCCTCCCTCTCAACCAAGCACACACACACACACACACGTACATGCACACGCAGACATGCAAACATGCTCTCTATGATGCTGCGCCCCGGGCTGGCCGCCCTCTCCATCTGCCCCACCTCCTGTGCCCACAGCTCAACTTTGATCAGCCCTTCCAGAGACA